TAGCGAGAGGAACACAAAGAGGGGGAGTGGGAGAGGGAGAAGCAGGCCTCCCGCGGAGCAGGGAGCCCGATGCGGGGCTTGATCCCAGGACCCTGGGATCATGACCTGAGCCAAAGGCAAATGCTTAATGACTGAGCCACCCAGGTGCCCCCGGAAGGGATTTAAATGAAAGAACAGAGTTGTGTAATTAATTGTATCTTGGACTTCAGGTACATAGAAGTGGATTCACCATCACGCTTAGATCATTACCCATTCTCAGCACAGCTTATGCGTCAGTCAACCTCCTGAGAGCTTTTCTATAATCTGAAACTGGCCCCCAAAAGCATGGAGGCCAGAGAGAGACCAAACAAAGAGGCAAGCCACTCCAGGTTGGGAGGTGGCAACATTAATAAGCAAGGGAACTTACAGAGGAGGCTTGTCTTGGGCACCAGCATGATGAGTGGATCGCCATACCATCCACCGCATCTTAAAAGTTTAGACAGAGGAGAGGCCTTAACTAGGGTCGGTCACATATACCATGCAGGTGTTCTCAATACGGCATCACCATCTCCAGGATCTGTCCTTGGAACAGCCTCTGGGAATGGGAAAGACAGGGGCAGGAGTGAAGAGCCTCCAAGTGCCCAAGTCCAGCTCTCAGGGCAACTAACTGTCCTGCCTTTTCCATGACCTTCCCCAACACTGGTTTATATGTGGTCCACTCTAGTCAGTTTTGGGAGGGGGGATTTTTTTTTTATTGGTTTTGGGTTTTGTTGTGTTTTTGCCATTCAGTGGTTTCTAGTTTATACACAATCTTGCACAACCATCACCGAAATCACTTTTAGAATGTCTTCATGACCCTCAAGGATCCCTGTACCCATTAACAGATACTCTCTCCTGCCTCCCCAACATCCCCAGCCCTAGGCAACCACTAATCCACTTTCTGTCTCTACAGCTGTGCCTACTCGGGATGTCCCCTCTAAGTGCAATCATACAATATGTGACGTTTTGTGACCGACCTCTTTTACTTAACATAATGTTTTCAAGACTCATCTGTGTTGTAGCATGTACTAGTACTTCATTTCTTTCTGTGACTGAACCATATTCCATCTTACAGATTGATCCCATTCCATGCAGCCATTCACCAGGTGATCGCCATCTGCGTTGTTTCCACTGTTGACTATTATGAATAATGTTGCTGTGAACATTCATGGCCAAGTTTGTGTGTGGACTCATGTTCTCCTTACTGGGGGGTATACCCGGAGGAGTGGAATTGCAGGGTCATTTGGTAGTTCCTTGTTTAATCTTTTGAGGGACCACAAACTTATCCACAGCAGCTGTGCTTTTTTGCATGCCCACCAATGGGACACGAGGTTTCTAATTTCTCCACATCCTCACCAACACTTATTGGTCAGGTTGACACAGAATTGACCATCACAGTGTCTTTGCAGTAAAAATGGAGGGGTGTGGGGGGGCTGCCTTCTACACCGAGGGACAGACAGAACAGTGTCCATGGGACAACGATGGAGTTTTTGAGTCATCTTCATGTCTGGACTGACTTCCTAGCGGTTCTGCTCAAATGAGGTAGTCGAGGTAACACATTAAGGTATTCCTGAAAAACCTTCAATATCTGAGATGCCTGGGTGGTTCAGTCAGTTAAGCAGCCGACACTTGGTTTTGGCTCAGGTCATGGTCCCATGGGTGGTGAGATTGACCCCAAGCTGGGCTCCATGCTCAGCAGGGAGTCTGCTTGAAGAGTATCTCCCTCTGCTCCTCCCCCCATTCACAGTCTCTCTCTCTCTCAAATAAATAAATAGATCTTAAAAAAAAAAAAACCTTTCAATATTCTGTGCTAGCAACTTCCTCAAAAGCTGATTTTATCCCAATCTGTGCCTAATCCACACCGTTAAACCCCCAAAATTAAGGCACAGATTGTCCAAATTCTTAGTTCTACCCCAACTCCAGTTATGAAATCAGTTGAATGCATGAATAAAACTAAGAGATAAAAAAATAATAAATGAATAAATAACACTAAGAGAAACAGCTTCTAGAGGCAGCTCTTGAAATGTTTCATTTTCTTAAGGGACAAGGTTATTACCTGATATAATTCAATGAAAGGTAAGACTACTATGGGAACAATGTGTAATTTGCCTGAAAATCAAGAGATAACCTTAGGTTTCTCTACTGAAGATCCATGAGAAGAGTTTAGTGCTTGTCTTTTACATTCGAATTTAGAGTGGATTTCTAGTCCTTTAACTGGATGTACCAACCCTTGGATCACAGTTAGGCCCTTTGCTCTGGGCCTGCTCTCTAGGTACCTGTGTTAGCGAGAGACCCCGAGGCAGGTAAGAGCGGTGACACTTGTGAAGGAGAATAATTTACCAGAAAGCCTTCTATGGGAAATGAAATCAGTATCTTGAAGAGGTGTCTTCACGTCCATGTTCACTGTGGTCAAGCTATGGAAACAACCTAGGTGTCTGTTGATGGATGGATGGATGGATGGTCTGTTGATGGATGAATGGATAAAGAAGATGGAATATTATTCAGCTATAACAAAAGGACATCCTGCTATTTATGACAACAGAGACCGACCTGGAAGACATCTTTTTAAGATTTTATTTTATTTATTTTAGAAAGAGAGAGTACAAGAGAAGGTAGGGTCAGAGGGAGAAGCAGACTCCCCGCTGAGCAGGGAGCCTGATGCGGGGCTTGATCCCGGGACTCTGGGATCATGACCTGAGCCGAAGGCAGTCGCTTAACCAACTGAGCCACCCAGGTGCCCCCGGAAGACATCATATTAAATGAAATAAGCCAGACAGAGAAAGACAAATATTGTATGATCCCACTCATAGGTAGATTCTTAAAAAAAAAAAAGATTGAATGTACAGAAACACAGGATAGAATGGTTGCTTGGTTGCCGGGGACTGGGGGATGGCAGAAGTGAGGAGGTGCTGGTCAAAGGGCACAAACTTTCAATTATAAGATGATTATGTTCCGAGACTGTAATGTACAGTGTGGTAATTATAGTTAACAATACTGGATTGTATACCTGAAGTTTGCTAAAAGAGTAGATCGTAAGTGTTCTCACCACAAAGGAAAAGGTAACTGTATGAGGTGATGGATGTGTGAATTAACTTGGTTGTGGCCATCATTTCACAATGTACTTGTGTATCAAGTCATCGCATTGTAATACTTTAAATAGATACAGTTTTATTTGTCAAATATACATCAATAAAGCTGGAAACAGAAAGAAAAGAAAACCTCCTTTGGGCATTCCAGATATGAATTACACATGGTCCAGAGTAGAAGCTTCTCAGAAAGCAGATGAGAGGTTTCGTGGGGATTTGGGACGGGGTGAGGCATGGATTACCAAGGGTACCATGAAAATTCTGAGTTATTTGATTGAGGTGATGGTTCCCCTGACTTACGGTAAAACTCATCAAATGTAAACATGCACATTTAAATATTTACGGTTCATACTACATCACTTATACCTCAATAAATGTACAAGGTTTCTGAGGGGAAAAACAAACGTAAAAATCTCACAGACCTCTTTTCAAACAAGATGGGCCCTCTGCACTTGAGGCACTGCCCCAATCTTGACTTGCTATCAAAAGCCTGCTTGAAGTGAGTGATAATCTGAGGACAACCGAAGGGACTACTAACCATCCATTTGCTCATGTTCCGATCAGCAAATTAAAACATTTGGAACACATAAGCCTAGTGCCTCATCAAAATGTCCTCAGTTAGCCATAATTTCTCACAATGTTCTCAATTATTTTTTAATCAGGGTCTAATATAAAAAATGGCCATGTGAAATCCATGTAAATATTCTTTCTTGCAAAAAAGAAAATGAAACAAGGAAAGAAGAAGGCAATCTGTGGTAGACAGCATAATGATCCCCCAGCGACATCCACATCCTAAGCCCTGGAACCTGTGAATATAATAGGTCACATGGCAAAAGAGGAACTAAGGTTGCAAGGGGCATTAAGATTATTAATCAGCTGACCTCAAAACAGGGAGATTGTTTTGATTATCCAATAATCCTATTACCATTGGGTAAACCAATGTAATCCCAAGGACCCTTAAAAATGGAGGAGGGAGACAGAGGGTGATGTGACCCCAAGAGGAAGGCATAGAATGATGCAATGCTGTTAGCTGTGAAGACAGGAGTAGCGGCCACAAGCCAAGGAGCGTAGGCACCCTCTCAACCTGGTGGCTCTTCCCTCGAGCTGCCAGAGGGAACACAACCCGCCAACACCCGCATTTCGGCACAGTAAGACCCATTTCAGACCTCTGACCTCCAGAACTGGAAGATACTAAATTTGTGTTTTCAGCCACTAAATGTGTGGTAACTTACTACAACAGCGATAGAAAACTACTATAGGGCGCCTGGGTGGCTCAGTCGGTTAAGCGACTGCCTTCGGCTCAGGTCATGATCCTGGAGTCCCGGGATAGAGTCCCGCATCGGGCTCTCTGCTCGGCGGGGAGTCTGCTTCTGCCTCTGACCCTCCCCCCTCTCATGTGCTCTCTCTCTCTCTCATTCTCTCTCTCAAGTAAATAAATAAAATCTTTAAAAAAAAAAAAAGAAAACTACTATAAATACCTTCGGGTGAGATAAAATAGCACTGACTTCATTTATGCCCATTCCCTTAACAATTTTTTTTTTAAAGATTTTATTTATTTTTTGACAGAGAGAGACAGCGAGAGAGGGAACACAAGCAGGGAGAGTGGGGGAGGGAGAAGCAGGCTTCCCGCCACCCAGGCGCCCCCACTTAACAAATATTGAGAACTTTCCACGGGCAAAGAATTTTATTAGGAACAGGGCACACACACATGAAATGAAATTTGTACCCGGTGCCCTTGAATGTGTAAGAGCCAACGGGCAGATACTGACTGGAAAAAGAGCAATGAGAGGTGGGACCCAGAATGGGACGAAGAATTAGGGATTTTCGGTCCTCTTTGGCCAAGAAGACTGCAGGCCCCGCCCTTCTCCTCCATCTACAAGGTGCAGTATTTGGCGGCCCAGACTTGGTGAGGGTTTGGTTCCTCGCTTCCCCGCTATCTCAGTGAAATGGAAGCTACTTCTCTCACGCGCACGTGGGGCGAGGTTTCAAACCCTTTCCTCCGGTTATAAATGTGCAGAGCATTAGCGAGCCTCAGCCAAAGCTATAAACTTCAACCGGCCACAAGAGTGTGCACGTGGGATGACTGCAATTTTTTCCTGCCAAACCAGAATTAGCCGGTATAGGAATGAACGAGCGTGAAGATTTGAAATTGCACCAATTGGAAGAAAGCCCAGGTTAGGTTCGGGCACCTCCAAACGTACCCTTTTTAAAGCCACACGGACTGAGGCCTGGAGCTCGAAGCTCTACGAAACGCTCACCTGGCCTGGCAGCGAGCGGCGGAGACGAGCCCGGGCGCCGCGCACCGAGCGCACGGAGCCCGCGGGAGAGCCGAGCCGCGGCCACCGGCATCTCCATCCAGGATGCTGGGCGACATCGCAACAGCTCTCTACGCCCAGCCGCTCAGGGGGCTCCGCGGCAAACAGCAAGTTCGGGGATCGGGGCCGGGAGCCGAGTGAGGCCGAAGCCCCGCGCACCGCGGGCGGTGAGTCTCCCGAGGCCATGCGGCCCTGGAGGCACCCTGGACCGCG